TGAGCAGTGAGACAGCAGTGAGGAGTGAGACAGCGGTGAGACAGTAGTGAGGAGTGAGACAGCAGTGAGGAGTGAGACAGCAGTGAGGCGTGAGACAGCAGTGAGGCGTGAGACAGCAGTAAGTAGTGAGACTGCGGTGAGGTGTGAGACAGCAGTGAGCGGTGAGACAGCAGTAAGTAGTGAGACAGCAGTGAGCGGTGAGACAGCAGTAAGTAGTGAGACAGCAGTGAGCGGTGAGACAGCAGTGAGGAGTGAGACAGCGGTAAGTAGTGAGACAGCAGTGAGCGGTGAGACAGCAGTGAGGAGTGAGGTGTGAGACAGCAGTAAGTAGTGAGACAGCAGTGAGCGTTGAGACAGCAGTAAGTAGTGAGACAGCAGTGAGCGGTGAGACAGCAGTAAGTAGTGAGACAGCAGTGAGCGTTGAGACAGCAGTAATTAGTGAGACAGCAGTGAACGGTGAGACAGCAGTAAGTAGTGAGACAGCAGTGAGCGGTGAGACAGAAGTGAGGAGTGAGGTGTGAGACAGCAGTAAGTAGTGAGACAGCAGTGAGCGTTGAGACAGCAGTAAGTAGTGAGACAGCAGTGAGCGGTGAGACAGCAGTAAGTAGTGAGACAGCAGTGAGCGGTGAGACAGCAGTGAGGAGTGAGACAGCGGTGAGGTGTGAGACAGCAGTGAGGAGTGAGACAGCAGTGAGGTGTGAGAAAGCAGTGAGGTGTGAGACAGCAGTAAGTAGTGAGACAGCAGTGAGCAGTGAGACAGCAGTGAGGAGTGAGACAGCGGTGAGACAGCAGTGAGCGGTGAGACAGTAGTGAGGTGTGAGACAGCAGTAAGTGGTAAGACTGCGGTGAGGTGTGAGACAGCAGTGAGGTGTGAGACTGCGGTGAGGTGTGAGACAGCAGTGAGGTGTGAGACAGCGGTGAGGTGTGAGACAGCAGTGAGACAGCAGTAAGGAGTGAGACAGCAGTGAGGTGTGAGACAGCAGTGAGGAGTGAGACAGCAGTGAGGTGTGAGACAGCAGTAAGGAGTGAGACAGCAGTGAGGAGTGAGACAGCATTGAGGTGTGAGACAGCGGTGAGACAGCAGTGAGACAGCAGTGAGCGGTGAGACAGCAGTAAGGAGTGAGACAGCAGTGAGCGGTGAGACAGCAGTGAGGTGTGAGACAGCAGTGAGGAGTGAGACAGCAGTGAGTGGTGAGACAGCAGTGAGACAGCAGCGAGGAGTGAGACAGCAGTGAGACAGCAGTGGGGTGTGAGACAGCAGTGAGGAGTGAGACAGCAGTGAGGTGTGAGACAGCGGTGAGGAGTGAGACAGCAGTGAGGAGTGAGACAGCAGTGAGGTGTGAGACAGCATTGAGTGGTGAGACAGCAGTGAGACAGCAGCGAGGGGTGAGACAGCAGTGAGACAGCAGTAAGGAGTGAGACAGCAGTGAGCGGTGAGACAGCAGTGAGGTGTGAGACAGCAGTGAGGAGTGAGACAGCAGTGAGTGGTGAGACAGCAGTGAGACAGCAGCGAGGAGTGAGACAGCAGTGAGACAGCAGTGGGGTGTGAGACAGCAGTGAGGTGTGAGACAGCAGTGAGGTGTGAGACAGCGGTGAGACAGCGGTGAGACAGCAGTGAGCGGTGAGACAGCAGTGAGCGGTGAGACAGCAGTGAGGAGTGAGACAGCAGTGAGGAGTGAGACAGCAGTGAGGTGTGAGACAGCAGTGAGGTGTGAGACAGCAGTGAGGTGTGAGACAGCGGTGAGACAGCGGTGAGACAGCAGTGAGCGGTGAGACAGCAGTGAGGAGTGAGACAGCAGTGAGGAGTGCTGTAGGAATGACAGATGATGTTGGGGTCTCCAAAGACCACGATGAGCCACAGGTGGAACAGGAAACATTAGATAATGGTGTAAAAGTTCATCCATCCACCCAGCTGTTTAGATAGTGAGTCTGGAATATTTAATCCTTTATTGTCTGATAATCTGGGTTTTTATAAAATGTAAGCCATAATCATCACAGCTGCCAGTTAGTGCGAGTGTGGAGGAAGCAGAAGAAACGACTAAATGGAGACAGCTGATTGGCTGTGGAGACACCTGAGGAGACAAGTCTAAAGCCACAGAAGACTAGTGATGATGACACGTTGTTCTGTGAAGATGTTTAAGTTCACAGATGATTCACAACATTCTGAAACCAGTTTCCTGTGTTAATCCAATAATCTATCTCTGACCTGTTATTGTTTTACAGAGTCATTAACTGGGAACAAAGCCTGTATGTAAATTAGTTTATTGCAAGAAAACCAGTTTAATCTCTTCCTGGTTCCTTTCAGAGGTCCTTCAGCAACACAAATAAACATTTCAAACAACAAGAACTATCGGCTGACCCCTAATCTCTACATAAATCTGATTTCTCTCAAATAAAACCACTCATCAGGAGTCAGATTCCTCCTGATGTGTGTAGTGAATGCAGAGCAGTCAGTGCCTTCTTAATCGAGAAAAGCTTTAAAAATTACACAAAATATTCAGAATAATGACAGAGGCATGCAAATAACCAGTAGGTGTCTCTATTTATCTTAAAATAAACCCAGTCCCGTTTTAATCTGTGTAAAATAACAGATTCCGCCCAACAGCACCCTCTGGTGGCTTACTGAAGAGCAGCACTTAAATTATTTCACTATAAAATAAAATAAATAAAAATAAAGGTTTAGTTTAGTCATGCTGAAACAGACTCAGAGGCTGCTGGGAGGATGGAGCTAGGGTTAGGGTTAGGGTTAGGGTTAGCTTAGCTAAGATTTTCTGTTCTAAAACAAACAAAACAAGTAAACGATGAAGTCCTAACAAACAAGTCAGTCCCAGATGTGCTGCTGTGAGTCGGGTTCAGACGTGATCTTTGAACGTGTTCATTCATAAATAAATCATGATCACGCCGTTCCTGAAACAGCTGATTTTTACTTCCTCTCTTAAACACACTTAATCCAAACCTACGACTGTTATTCTAAAAATACTTTTGGTTTCACAACAGAACAACATTTTCTGAGGCTAAAGCCAAACCGCGGCGAGGACAGGAGCTTCGCCTGCAGCAGCGACTCTTCTCCGACTCTGCTGCAGAAACATCACAGGAATAAATCTCTACACTCCGTAAAGTGACAGTGCTGGATATCGGATCGGGTCGGTTCTCATCTTATCTACTCATTGCCCTAAAGTTTGAGATCAAACTTCTTTGCTTCCAAAGGGAACTTGATGAATTTGATCAATTTCACAACAAAATCTCCCATTAATCAGCTGATTATTACAGACATGTTTTAGATTGGAAGCCGTTTTTCAGCAGTTCTTCGCTCTTTGGCTGCTTAAAGAGCAAGTCACCCCCAAATCAACTTTATTTTTCTGATAAACTATATAAATGCATGTCTAATCGTGCTGCAGACACGTGTCGTCAATAGTTTTGCACTTTAGTGCATTTTAGTTAAAATTAAAATTTTCTGCCTAAAACTGTCAGTGTTGTGCCGTTGTCAGGTAAAAACTCTGCACTGCATTTGAATTTAAATCTGCCATCGCTATTGGCTAAGAGGTACCCTAGAACGTTAGCTGGTACCGTATGATGTCACAATGTCATTGTGAACCTGTGTGTGTATATTTGTTAGCAGCTCCGCCCCCTCAGTCTGCTAGACAACAGCATTTGTTGCATTTTTCAAACAGGAAGTGGGAGTGGAGTAATACTCTGGTACAGGGGCGGCGTTAGGCCCGGCTACTTGGGCTGAAGCCCCGAATGTTTTATGAAAAGCCCCGGATCTGAAACGTGGAAGTAGCATGCAGTACCAAAGACCAACAGAGAGGGAGCAGCTGGCAGTAGTTTGTATACAGCCTGCCTGAGCCTCCACCACTGAAGAAGAAGCCCTTCAGCAGCCGGCTTCTTCTACACTCTCTGCCTGAAACGCATGAGTGAAGATGGACATAAGGACGTTTTTTAGACCAAAAGTACGGCGACAGAACCCCAGCTTTGATGAGACTGGTGCTGACTCAGGTTTGTGAGTCTTATTAGAAAATATTTGTTGAGCTGCTGGTTAGCCTAAAGTTAGCTTATCAGGTAAAGTTGTTGGAGAAAGAGCGGGAATATTTACTATCATCTCACACTAAACAGTAACAGGAACGATACTCTGCCCTGAATGTGCTTAATATGTAGCTTCAGATTAAAATCTATGTGGTACAAGACAAATATATATGATGTTGACTAGTGCGTGTCACGTGCGCGCGCGTGTGTGTGTTAAGCCCCGGATCTTCTTCAGTCCTAAATCCGCCCCTGCTCTGGTAGGGGGTGACTTGCTCTTTAACCTTTTTAGGCACACTGATTCTGGTTTTGAGGGCCGATACCAGTTCTGCTGATACCGATTTATTTCCAAGAACCCTGATCATGAGAATACAACTATTATTTAAACGATTATGTCTGATTAATGCAAATCTCACATCAGGAAATTAAAACCTCTACTAGGAACATCTGCTAAAGCTAATTAGCCCAGGCTCGGTCCCCTCTCATGCACCTGTGGTGTATTAACATATCAGCACAGGAACGGGAGCTAAGCTAAAACTCACCCAATAACTATTATCGTTTGTCCCACGATCCAGGAGCCTGAATTCAGAACCTTTAGTGTTGTTCTGCTGCAGCTGTAGAACTACTTTGAGTTTGTTTATTATCTGAAGCATCGGAAGTTTATTAGCTTGAACCTGAAGGCTAAAGCCAGCTGGAAATGCTGATAAAGGTGGTTTTTGGTTTTCATGACAGCGAAGGTTTCATAATGTCTACAGAACTTGTAATTTCTGTCTCTGTGTCTGCGTTTTCTGTTGGTGTGCTACGGTTCTCATGCAGGCTAATTTCATGTGAGTTTCCAAGGAAACAAGAAAAGGTGATCCGAATCATTTGAGCAGCGCTGATTTTATCGTAAAAGGTAAATATCTAGAGTGTGTGTGTGTGTGTGTGTGTGTGTGTGTGTGTGTGTGTGTGTGTGTGTGTGTGTGTGTGTGTGTGTGTGTGCGTGTGCGTGCCTAAGTGAGTGCGTCAGTGCAAAGCGAGCGCTGTGGCGAGTGCAGCATGCAGAAACGTTTCCGTTTATCAGCTAAAGAACACCTAAAGAATCCTCACAGACAACAAAAGCTGTTAATAAAAACCTGAAAGTGTTTCTATCCAAACAAACGATGCAGCTGTTCCCTCTGCAGCTTCATCTCCAACGGTCGCCTAACTTACGGGGCAGGAAAAATCCCCAGGGTCGTGCCTGGCAGGAAGTTCTGCTGCTTCCACTTCCTGGTTGAGCCTCTGGTCCGTTCCTAAAGCGACCCAAACCATCAGCGTCCTCTCTCACCTTTATTGCACCAAAGATTCATTGATTAGAGCCGAGCTCCTTAAACAAAGAAAAGGAAGGACTTGTTTCCAAGGTGCCGCTAACTGGAAGCCAGGACAAGGTTCCTCCATGAGCCTGAGGATGACGAGGAGGAGTGGAGGGAGGAGGAGGGTGGTCAATGGATGTCTCGGCACGTCGGGAGGTTGACGAAGATGAAGACGTTAAACTCGATGAGGATGGAGAAGCAGAGAAAGACGGCGTACATGAAGAGGCAGGCCAGGCCCAGTCGGTGGTCCAGGGTCCAGTTGTTCAGGTGGACTCCCAGAACCTGGAGATGGAACAGAACATGAACGCAGTCAGAGACAAGTTATCCCGAAGGAAAGTTCAGAAACTAAAGCTAAGAGGAGGTGGCAAGAAAACAGGAACAGTTTAGATGGTCTGGAGTCAAATAAAAACTTAGGAACATTTGGGAATCTGGATCTTACTGTAAAGAACACCGAGGCCAGCAAGAGTCCCACTGAGAAAATGAGGCCTCGGCTGTTGAGATGGACCTTGGGAAACAGAAAGGGACAAACAAGGACATGCTTTACAATCTCTCTGGTCTATTCTGGGACGAGACCAGAAGAAGCTCCTCTGGCAGAGCAGAGGAGGGCTCACCATGGAGCCGTAGTCAATGCAGAGGGTTTGCAGCAGCCACGGCAGGCCCAGACCCACCAGGATGTCAAACACGTTACTGCCGATGGAGTTGGAGATGGCCATGTCTCCTAGACCTGAGGGGAGGACACGGACGGTGAGGAGACGTGTCCGCCAGACAGAAAAGTGTGTGTGTGTGTGTGTGTGTGTGTGTGTGTGTGGGTTTGTATACCCTGCCGTGCCACAATAACGCTGGCCATGCAGTCTGGGACGCTGGTGCCCGCTGCCAGGAAGGTGATGCCCATGATGACGTCCGGGATGCCGAGAGTGAAACCGATAACTGTCACCTGAAACCGTACAGACACTTCCTGTTACAGACCTCTTCTGACACTGAACTGAGTTGATTTAAACAATCAAATTAATTAAAATCTTATTGTTATTTTTAGGTCTTAATGACTCGGTCTTAATTTGTTATCTACATGTTTTATTTTGGCGAGTTGTGTCTGGACTCACCATCCAGACCATGATGTAGGAGAGCCCAGCGATCCAGATGGTGGCGGTGAAGAAGGTGACCATGAACCAGCGTTCCCAGCGTTTCTCGGCACAGTTGGGAATGGTGAAGAAAAGGAGCAGGGACAAGGGCCACATGACCAGCCACTTCAGCTTGTTACAGATGCCGACTGGAGGGAGGAGAGGGAGGAGTCAGTCACAGCAATGCCATGAGAGAACAAGGATGCAAGCTGTCAAGACACCCATCGAACAAAAGTTAGAGTACAAGTGGTTCTTAAAGAGATTTTTGAAAAGACTTGTGTTGATCTGATATGGAGAGGTAGGTTGTTCCAGAAGATAGGGGCGTGGTCACCTCTGCTTGACTGAACGGTGCGAGAGGTGCGAGTGTCAGGATCTGCTACTTCTTTCCTATCAAAAGGATAACTTCTGTTTTATTCTCATTAAGACGTTGGAAGTCTGAGTTCAACCAGGTCTTTATGTCTTTTAAACGATCCAGCAGCAGTTTCAAGGAGTTGTTGGTTTTAAATGTTATAGAAAATAAAATCTGGATGTCATCAGCAAAGCACTGGAACTTATTATCTTTTTACGATGGATCCTAATGTCAGCATGTACAAATGAAAACAGGAGAGGGCCCAACATGGAGCTCTGTGGAACTCCACATGCCAGAGGTGCTGATCAGGAACACTGATCTATCTAAACAGAGAAGGTTCATTTTGCTAGGATTTAGACCACAGAAAGGCACTTCCTCTGATTCCTACATGGTGATTGAGTTGAGATAAAAGGATGTCATGATCAACCTGTCGAAAGCAGTAATCGGGTCTAAGAGGATCACAGAGTGAGTGTGAATAATACAGCAGGTCTAGGAGTGTCTCGGGGGGGGGGGGGGGGGGGGGGGGGGAGGGGAGATTATGACTCAGGTCTCAGTCACACCTGGAATTTTAAAAGGCACCACCGGCCCAGAACTTTCCTCTTCTCCGTCTCCTTCCATGTCATTCTCATCCTCGTTCTCCATCTCATTTCCGGACTCCAGCCTCTGAAGTCTGCACAGACCGTTGAGACCTAGGTCAGCCCCGCCCCTACTGTTATCTAAGCCCCGCCTCCCCTGAACCCAGACCGCAGAGTCGGAGTCGCCATTTGTGATGCAGTTGATTCGAGTCTCGGTGGTGTTGATCAGTCGTTGTCTCTGGAACACAAAAAAGATTTAGTTTTCTCTGGAAAATCTGTTTCTACTCATGCAGAATGTTTACGTTTAATGTTTAATCAGATGCTACAGAGCAACCACCTCCATCCCACCTCAGTTTATGTACACAGTGGAGGCGCAAATACATCCCTTTTCTAAATAAAGTACTTAAGTAACTCTGTGTGCTCTTGACTTGAAGTAGCTTTCCGGAGTTTTCCCCTTTCAGAAATCCGTAAAAGTGATTATCTCAGCATGTACTGTGATAAAATGTAGGCAATACCTCTTTTTTATTTATTTATTTTTTTGCTAAGCACGCCCCCTGCCTGCTGAGCTCCGTGCAATAGGAAACTGAGCGCCGACCAGAACTAACCAATAGCGTTAGACTACCGCTTAAAAGCCGTACCTCGGCTGAATTGATAAACTTTTCATGAACAAGTAAGTCTTTAAAATATAAATATATGAAACCACAACATGAAATGAGAATAATACTTGTAAAACAACGTGCTTTAACTCTGTCGGCTACAGAAGCACAATCATAAACAAGAAACGTGAAGTCGCCATCTTAAAAAAACAATCAATCAATCAATCAATCAAAGCTTTATTTATAAAGCGCCTTCCGCAACCCTGTCAGGAAGCCCAAAGCGCTGAACATGGTACAGTAGAAGGTAAATATATTGAATAAATCAAAAATAAAAGCAATTCAAATTACAAAATAGAAATTACAAGATAGATGAAACATTCTGGTACAGGACAAATGTGTGAAACACATTTGGATTGAGTGGATGGATAGAGTGAACCAATGAAAACTGTGAAATAAATTCAACATAATAGAGGGCCAAAATCAAACATGTTCAGGAAAAGCCAAGCGGAGGAGGTGTGTTTTTAGGCGACTCTTAAAGACTGGCAGAGAAGGGGACAGCCTAACTGAGGGTGGCAACTGGTTCCAGAGTGACGGTGCTAGGACTGAGAAAGCCCGGTCCCCACGGGTACGACACCTAGACCGAGGGACAGCGAGCAGGCCTTGGTCAGAGCAGCGCAGAGCGCGTGATGGGGAGTGTCTGTTCAGGAGAGTGGCCAGATAGGGGGGAGCACCACCCTGGAAGAAATGATAAACAAAGACGAGGAGTTTTAATTGTGAGCGATAGCAAATCGGATGCCAGTGCAGGGAGGCCAGAACCGGACTGATGTGGTCCCGTTTCCTGGTCCCAGTCAGGAACCTGGCAGCGCTGTTCTGCACAACCTGTAGGCGACGCAGTGTTGACTGACACAACCCTGCATAGAGAGAGTTGCAAAACAGATCGACTGACTGTGTGAAATGCTTGTCAACCATAGCTGTAAGAGAACCTTTCCAGAAAGATGCTTTAAAGAAAAACACAAGTCTAAATAGTTCAAAGTTGATGCTAAAGCTGTTTTAAACAAGTCAACGCTATCTTAGCTATTCTGCTCCATCGCATCAACCCGTCCACCAAACCAGTAAAGCTCTGTGGTTGATGCACCAAACCAGTAAAGCTCTGTGATTGATGCACCAAACCAGTGAAGCTCCGTGATCGATGCACCAAACCAGTAAAGCTCTGTGATTGATGCACCAAACCAGTAAAGCTCTGTGATTGATGCACCAAACCAGTAAAGCTCTGTGATTGATGCACCAAACCAGTAAAGCTCTGTGATTGATGCACCAAACCAGTAAAGCTCTGTGATTGATGCACCAAACCAGTGAAGCTCCGTGATCGATGCACCAAACCAGTAAAGCTCTGTGATTGATGCACCAAACCAGTAAAGCTCTGTGATTGATGCACCAAACCAGTAAAGCTCTGTGATTGATGCACCAAACCAGTAAAGCTCTGTGATTGATGCACCAAACCAGTAAAGCTCTGTGATTGATGCACCAAACCAGTAAAGCTCTGTGATTGATGCACCAAACCAGTAAAGCTCTGTGATTGATGCACCAAACCAGTAAAGCTCTGTGATTGATGCACCAAACCAGTAAAGCTCTGTGATTGATGCACCAAACCAGTAAAGCTCTGTGATTGATGCACCAAACCAGTAAAGCTCTGTGATTGATGCACCAAACCAGTAAAGCTCTGTGATTGATGCACCAAACCAGTAAAGCTCTGTGATTGATGCACCAAACCAGTAAAGCTCCGTGATTGATGCAACAAACCAGTAAAGCTCCGTGATTGATGCAACAAACCAGTAAAGCTCCGTGATTGATGCACCAAACCAGTGAAGCTCCGTGATCGATGCACCAAACCAGTGAAGCTCCGTGATCGATGCACCAAACCAGTAAAGCTCTGTGATTGATGCACCAAACCAGTAAAGCTCTGTGATTGATGCACCAAACCAGTAAAGCTCCGTGATTGATGCAACAAACCAGTAAAGCTCCGTGATTGATGCACCAAACCAGTAAAGCTCTGTGATTGATGCACCAAACCAGTAAAGCTCCGTGATTGATGCAACAAACCAGTAAAGCTCCGTGATTGATGCACCAAACCAGTAAAGCTCCGTGATTGATGCACCAAACCAGTAAAGCTCTGTGACTGGGAAGACACACAAGTGTCTGGTTCTTCTGAGGCTCCTATGGAGATAGAACGACCTGCAGAACAAAATAATTTTACTTGTGCGACCGTCTGTCTAGATTTCTAGGCTAACTGGGGTTCTTTGTGGAGATGAGGAGGAAGGATCAAGAATGAGGTTGGAGCCACTGGGCAGGAGGCTGAGAGGAAGACCAAAAAGGAGTTTTATGGATGAAGTTAGTTGGTGTGAGGGTAGAGGATGCAGAAGACAAGACAAAAATGGAGACAGCTGATTGGGTGAGACCACAGAGACAGAAGAAGACTAGTCAGGGTCAGCGAGACGCACCTCGTTGATGAGCATGCGTGACGCCATGGTGAGGCGAGTTCTGGGAGAGAAATGATTGGTGATCATGATCCTCATCCCGGCCTCCGAGAAAGACAGCTGGTGGGGGTATGCAGACAGCAGCTCATCCACCATCAGCACCGATGGCGTGCAGTGGTAGCTAGCTACAAACAAACAACAAGACATAATCTGGGTGCTGCGTCTGCTCCGAACAACGATGAACACAAAACCTGTGTGTGACTCCAAGACCTTTCTTCAGAAGAACTGCTGTAGCATCACAGGAGATGTCCTCCAGGTCTGTGCTCCCCATCAGCCCGTTGGCCAGGTTCGCCGAGCTCTTCTTCCTGCGGCTGAAGTAGCGGTGGGCTCTGCCGTTGAACCTAACAGGAAACACTTTTTCATCATCAGAGAATCAGTTCCTGGCCAGTTTCTACAGAGAGAAACTCACTTCATGATGAGGATGTAAACAGCATACATGAGGGTCAGGACCAGAGATTCCCACCTGCAAACACCAGACCAGTCAGTCACTGATGCCAGGACTTTCACCGTTAGGAGAGCGGATGATACGTACCAGCACACCTTCTCATCGTAGATGAACTAAACAGATGAGAGAAAGAGAAAAATAAACAGTTTAGATTAAAAGAACTTGTTCTTGTTTCTGATTTGAGACGATTAGAGCTGTCTGACTGGTTTAAGGGGATCCTGCTGTTGGACCTTTTAGGATGATGTCAGCGTTAAAGGTTCTTCATTTAAATCCTCTTCAGTGAACCTGGCTTTCTGCAGAGCTTCTGACAGCCACAAACAAACATGTCCTAGCTTTCACCTCCAGTTTTCCACTCTAACCATGTCCCAATGTTCTTTGTGCTTAGGAATCATCAAAAACGGGTGATTTAGCTCTCAACTAACCATGCTGGAAACCTGCTCCTTAATCAGCCTCTGGTGCTCTTTGTGGTTCTGCTGTTTGACTTTTTTTCTGTTTCTGATGAAACAAATATTACGATCAACGCCCACAATGGACGGCAGGGTGGTGATATTAGCGCTCGTTAGCATCTGGCTGCGCTGCACAGACTGATGATGTGCATGTCTTTAAGGATGAAGAACAAAGTTTGTCCAAAATTAAAAGTGAAACTGGAGCTCGCTGATCAGTTTACTGCTTTAATCTGCAAATATCCGTGGCAAAAATGTGGTTTATCTCTAATTTTGAGATTCCAAATCTCTTTTTCACAGCTTGGAAGAGGTTCTCACCACGATGAGCGCCGTGATGGAAAACGTATAAAACACGGAATCTCTGAGGAGAGCCCAGTGGGACAGCTTCACTGCCTGAAACAAAAAACACAGAAACAACCGCATCAGGAACAGGTTCTGCAGGCCGGGTTCTACCTCCACAGATCTGGTCCAAATGGACCGTCTCTCAGGACAAAGCTGCTCAGGTTGAGACCAGAGATCAAACCCAAAACTCTGCCCAAAGTTGATCCAGATCCTGCAGAATCATCAGGAACATCAGGCCAGAAGGTCAGAGGTCAGCTGGGCCGATGCCAATTTTTACAACTTTTTTTGTTTTGTTTTTGTCCAAAAAAATTCCCAACATGGAAAAAACAAACAGTTAAAATTTTACAATGAAGTTTCTTTTAGAAAAATTTGAACACGTGGAAATAAAATCATCATCAGAACCGCTAACACCAGCGGGCATCAGGAAGGAGGCGGAGCTACACCTGGATAGTTCAACGGTGCATTTATATAAACGAAGATGAGTTCAGCTGCGGTTCCTTCCTGACTGGATCCAAACAGAACAGCTAGAACTGGTCTTAGGACAGATCTGACAACTGGCACTTCAAAAACAAGAGGACCTTCATTCCCCGCACCTCTGAAGAAGTTTATACAGAAAATATGTTCCATGTGGAGTCCAAACAGAACCACCTGGGTTCTGGGCTGGTCCTGGGGAATGCTTTGGAGAAAACCTACGGAGAACCGGGTCACAGAGATCAGGAATATGTTCTCCATCCCATGTGACCCGGCCAGATGGAAAACCTGGCATCAGTGTCTCTAACTGGTCAGAGTCTGGCGACTTTAGACTCCCACCCATCAGGGCGGGGTCAAAGGTCACAGGTGTGCTGAGAGGCTAAAGGCAGCAGAACCAAGCTTCCGTTTATCTGCTCTGCTTTCAGCGGAAGGCAGAGAGGAAGCTGAGAGGAGGATGAAGATGAGATGTCTCCTTTTGTCCCTTCGAGCTCCGTCTTCTTCCTCTGGAATCTCAGATCCGTTTCATGAGCTCCTGTCTGCACCTGCATCCAGGTTTGGATGAAATGCACTCAGCTGATGTCAGACGTGATGAAAGCTGACCTTCTCACGCTAAACAGTCGAGTTCTGGGTCTGGATCCGTCAGGAACAGAATCTGGATGGTACCGGGGCTGGAGCAGCATGAGACCAATGCAGGGTTTAATCTGGACCCACTTCTAGGGTGTCTACAGGCTTGGTTCTGTTGCTGCCTGATGAACACACGTGGGTGAAGAAAGAAATAAAGCCTGAAGTAAAGATATCCAACATTTTCCTGAGGTCGGACAACAAATGTGTTTTTCTTCATTTGTGTTAAAACATTTTTTTATTTGAGTTTAATATTTTTACACATTTTAAAGTGTTAGATGAACTGTTTCTGCTTTTACTGAAACTTGTTTGGTGTTTTCACGGCCTCGTGTTTAAAGGTCTGATTGAATCACAAGGTGGACGCACGGGGTCAAAGGTCAGCCTGAGTCTCATTATACCATACCTGCCCGGCGAAGAAGCCGCACACGCCGATGATGCAGAGGATGTTGAAGACAGCCGAGCCGACGATGGTGCCAACGCCCACATCACCTTTGGTGACGAACACACCTGTGGGAGAGCAGAGATGGTCATCAGGAGGTGTGTGTGTGTGTGCGTGTGTGTGTGTGTGTGTGTGTGTGTGTGTGTGTGTGTGTGTGTGTGTGTGTGTGTGTGTTGGTGGATCGGTACCAATGACAGAGGTGAAGAGTTCTGGAGCTGAGCTGCCAGCTGCCATGAAGGTTGCCCCAGCGACGTCCTCGCTCAGGTGAAGACGCTGAAAACAAAGTGGATCACCAGGCCAGAAGGATAAAGTCAGAACTACATGAATCAGGAACAGAACATCAGCACGTTGAGTCCAGGTCCAGGAAGCTTCCCAGACCTTAATCCCGCTGAGAACTTTTGGTCCATCCTCCAGAGGCAGGAGGACAAACACAAACATTGATGACAAAACTCCGTCATTCAGGATCTGGACCAGAATCTGGTCTAGGAGGACATTAGACTCTGTTCTTAAACTTCCTGTTATTATCAACAAAAGCCTTTAAAACTCATAAAATTCAGTAATTCTGACTCAGTAACCATAGAAACAGCTGACAGGAAGATGTAGAAGCACAGAAGCAGATATATCTAGTTCTTCTCTAAGCCTCTGGCTGCAGATCTAGTATTCACAAGAAGGATTTTACTTTCCATCTGAAGCAGAACCAGAAGAGTTCAGATGTAAACATTATAAAGGACTCATACCTCACAGATCTTCTCCAGAGACGGGACAAAGTAATCATCACAGACCAGAGCGAGAGCGCAGAACATGTAGATGGTCTGAGGAGAGAGAGAGAGAGAGAGAGAGAGAGAGAGAGGAGAGAGAGAGAGAGAGAGAGAGAGAGAGAGAGAGAGAGAGAGAGAAGAATGATGGGATTCAGGAGAACAGTTGAATCTTCAGTTTAAAACAGTCATTAAACTTTGGGTTTAACTAGTTAGAACCCTTATTATTATTATTATTATTATTATTATTATTATTATTATTAATGTAAATAATTTTAATTTACAAAACATTTTAAATTCTTTTCTGAAACAAAAAAAGAAAAAGAAAATAAAAACATTAAAACTAAAACTTTCGATCTGCATTTGTTTTGTGTTTAACTGATCCAGAGTTGATCTGCAGGTTAAAGCACGGAGACAAAAACGCAAAAGGAGCAGGAAGGGATTCATCCATTCATCAGCAACAGGGAGAAGCTCCTAAAAACTCCTAATCTGCACTTCAGAAAGGAAGCAGCAGCTTTGCTGCATGGAAGTGAGGAGCACCTGGACAGCGTCCAGTTTGTTTGTTTTCCTGCATATTTAGGAAGAAAACACTTAAATTATTCTCAGTGTTTTATGCTGCTGAGGAAAGGAAACAACATGTAAGAGCAGATTAAACCCTTTAGATTAAACTAAATATGAAAATGAAAGCATCTTTAGCTTTTAAATTCCAGCTGATGGAACATCTGGATCTAAAATCCCAGAATTAACAAGGCAAGGCAGCTTTGTTTATGCAGCATATTTCACACACAGGAGCAATTCAACGTGCTTTCCAGGAGCAAGATCAGCAAGAACAAAAACATTCAAATCAACGTGACAACATGAACTACCTGGACAACGCGGAGCAGAGACGCGAACGCTCGGTTTGATGAGCTGAGATTTTCTAATGAACATGTTTCTACTGAGCCTGAGTCAGAATAAAAAGGTGAGTGTGTGCACGCTCGGCACATGTGCACAAAAATCACAGCAAAAATGTAATTTATTTCACTGATCAACCAGTAAAAATCTTTCGTTTTAACTGAAATGAATGATTTTATTTTGATTATTTTTTTATAACAAAGACACTTCCAGTCATGTCTACATCGTTTTACTGAGACGGGTTTGGAGGAGGTGGACTCACACACAGGACATGGAGGACCACGGCCCCTTCTGTCCTCTCCTGATGTGAAAACAGGTCGGTTGGAAACTCGTGCAAAG